GAAGTTAAATTTGGCCACGCTCAAACATAGCTCCACTGGGCGCCACTGTGGACACGTCTGGCGAGACGCATTGAAGGGACCTGGAGGTTCCCTCGCCTTGTGGCTAGTCCGCATGCTCGCGGGCTCTGCGTCACGCGTCGCGGGGAGAAGCGCGGACCGTGCAAGTGAAAGGCCCATCACGCGGAGGTAAATACTTCGTAGAAATAAGCTACTAAAAAAAATAAGTGCTTCGTAAAAATAATTACTACCTAAAACAGGATCTTCTCTCACGTCGTCACTATTCTCTTCTTCAAATAAAAAAGAATAAATCATATTCCAATAGTTACTCTTTATTTTTTCCTAATAAACTCATATATCATGACGTAATTTTGTTGTTCAAATAAAAAACAAATTATTTACTGACATTTTGGTTTCATACAATTACTTCACACAGATCTGGAGACTGACGCGGTCAGGTCACGACTCTGGCCCAAGAGTGTCGGATTAGAATCCCTCTCTGGGCGCCAAATATTTTCTCTTGTTTGTCGTTAGTCCTGTGCAGCGAAGATCCTCATAACGTGCAGGCCTGTCAGTCGCCGACCTCCCGTTCGTCCATCTAATGAGTGGTATATGGTAATGAACTTCCCCACCTGAAGCCTTAATATCGAAACCCGATTACATGTACGACAAAAATTCATGCTTTTACTAAACATTCCATAGATAGAAAAATGAAAATACTCATGTTTAAATATAACCTAATATCAAGGAAGAGTATCGATTCTCTTGAGTTCGCTCGGTAGGGTTGATATACTTCACGGTAAAATAAATGATCATCATCAACTTCAGGAATTAAACCTTTGTTCCGGTCGTTCCGGTCGCAAGTATTTTAATACTAGATTTAAAATTGATCACTTCCTTCTTCTTTGAGATCAGTCGTTGAGACGTTGTTGTGGAAAGCGGCAATCATCCATTCTTCCAGGATGTTCAAACCGATTTACTCTGTCTTTCGACTTTTATCTAGGACTCTAGTGATATTATTTCCCTGGCATACATCGTCATTTCTTTTTCAATATTGTAGGGTGTACCCTGCCACATGTCTCAGAAATTGAGTTATGACAATAAATTGTAATACTATAAATGATAAGATTAAGTTGTTAGTATTGATATTAGTAGTACTGAACCTTTTTTTGACGCCGTAATTACAGGAAAATGTAATTTAGGTTCCCAAAAAAATAAGTGTCATTACACCAAATCATAATCTAAATTTGTCTCTTACTTCCTCGTTAGACATAATGAAATTATTTTTTCTAAAAGCTCCGTAACTTCCCACGATGAGTTAAAGCTTCGCTTCTGAACAGTCGCAGGTTTTCCAAAGGGCAGAAAACCAGATTAGTGGCATACTAATCTTGCATATGTTGAAGATCGCTTACTGAAAAAGTCGATTTTAAAGTTTGCACTGACAACACCTCACATTCTCGCGGTAGGAAAATGACATTAAATCGGATATTCGTGCTGGACAAAAGAAATAAATAATATTTTGCCATTTGTTTTTCATGCCAATCTACTTTTCTCGGCTAATTGTGACTAATCGTTTCGAACAGACCGGCATATTTTGTGATAAAAACGAGTCCCGAACTAGTAACAGTTTTTGAAATTTCAAAAAAAATAGCATTCGTTATTTCCTTTGCCCCATTTACAATGTTCCTAATCTAGTGTACGAAACTTGTTTGAACGGTTATCATAACTTCCGCGCTTCTAATATAGGCGCATAACTAGGCTTCCGCGGCCAGAGTCAATAGATCCTGGCCTTTCCGGGAGACACCACGTCCTTGGCGAAGATGCCACCGTCATACTGCAACCTTCCACACTGGCTCTGAGGAACATCGCAGAATGGCGGTCGAAACGTTGGCAACTCTGCCTAGGATGAGGCGTCTTCCGGAAAGCCAAGTATCTTCGTATTATCTGCATGTTAGAAACTGCTATTTTATTGGCAAAATAGAAGTGTAATGTCAATTACAACCGTTTTGTTGAGTGTGTGCGCGTGCGGGGCGAAATGCGAGGCGTCGAGGCCGTGTGTCGGCAGATGAGCTGAGCCGCTTCAACACACTGTACCTGGGCAAGCTGGAGCACCGCATGCTGGCGATCGCGACGGCGCTCAGCAGCGTGGACAGCAACGTGAAGAACCTGCAGGAGCGCGCGCACGTGTGGGACACGTTCCAGCTGCACGTGGCCGCGTGGAACGAGCAGATCAAGACGCTCGACAAGAAGGTCGACATCCTGAGCAGGTGAGTCGCCGCGCCCAGATAGGCCCAACGAAGGGGAAAGCGATGCGTCACGAGGCGGAGCGCGGGTCAGCAAAGGGCAGAGCGGGCAGGGGTCTTGTGAGGGTGCGTTCGTAAGCTTCCGGAGTCAATGCATTCTTGGCTATCCGGGATGAGCTGCGTCTCGGTCAATTGTGCTGACGTTTCGAACATCTTGCTGTTGCCTTCTTCAGAGCTTCAGTATAGCTGAAGAAGGTACAGCAAGATGGCATTGTGCTGACGTTTCGGCCATCTTGCTGTGGCCTTCTTCAGTGCTTCAGTATATCTGAAGAAGGTACAGCAAGATGGCATTGTGCTGACGTTTCGGCCATCTTGCTGTGGCTTTCTTCAGAGCTTCAGTATAGCTGAAGAAGGTACAGCAAGATGGCCGAAACGTCAGTACAATTGACCGAGACGCGGCTCATCCCGGATGGCCAAGAATGCTTGTGGTGAGGGATTTTTCGGGCGGAGAGGGCCTCCTTCCAGCCCGAGACAAGATCGTGTCGCGCAGGGGACGGGCTGGCGGGAGGCTGAAAAAGGGACTCCAGGGCGGAGCGAAGCACGGGACGAGTTGAGTGCGTAAGAGGAGAGGGTAGTGAGGCAGCGCGGGATCATGGAGGAAGGGTTGAGGTGCGGCTGGGGAGTGAGGTGCAGTGGGGAGGGGTCG